TTGCAAATTAAAAATTGGGTCAAATAACCTTGCTAATGAATTAGTTTGTTCATGAAAATCGGTCGCATATTCCAGAACCCTAGAAATTCAGCATTGTTTGTTTTGGTTCTAAATGTTCCTGGTGAATTGTCTGGTACCCTCAAACTATAAAATAGAATACCATTCCTTCATTCATTGTCTTGATTAGGCCTAATTCACGCTTCAACCCACATTAACACTTGATTGAGAATTCAAATTCAACCTCGGGCGTTGCTCCCTGCGCAGTACCGAACGTGCTTTGCGAAGCCTCTTTCCAACTAAGATTCAAACACAGCCCCCAGCTTCCGAATCGCACAAAGAGCACGCACACGAACCCCGAATGCTGAAGGAATTCGAGGGTTGCTCGATTCCGACGTCGACACAACTTCGTCGATTGCTTGATTGCTTTGCACAACCGAACTGACCGAACCTTGCGATTAAAGCTAATCGCAGAGTTTTGTGGGGGGTGGTCCAGCTGGGGCTGCTGCTGCTGCTGCGAGATTAGTCACAGAGCGAAACTGTTGCAGAGGGTGGATTCTAATTGCTCCCCTCAATTCCTCCCTGGGGTAGTTCCCTAGCTCCTGTAGCAATCCTCTCGCTCGCCGCAGATCTACGTAGTTTCGAACCGATTGCAAGCCCATGCATTTTACTAGGGTTGAGAGATAGAATATGTGTTACAAATTCCCAGAGCGCGCGCAGACCCCTACGTTGCTGGCCTCCTACATCTGCGAAGCGCACCATAATCGAACCTAGAATCCTAGACCTAATCACTCTACTCCTTTCCAAGCTCTCCTCGGACTTCAACATCATGATCACTGATTCAGAGTTCAAAGCTTCTACCAACTGGGGCTCTTATCTTCAGGGGACCACCTCCAGCGCTCTCTCTGCACGGGATCTCGATTTCACATGCGCGCACCCCGACATAACTCTGAAATCCTTAATCTGAAGCCCTAACTCTGCGTCCACTCCCACTTGTAATGATTCGTGGCGCGACTACAGTGAGGGGCGAAAAAATATATGACCACGATATGTGCATTGTGCCTGCACTTTTCCTCTGCCGCGGGGATTGGCAGAGAATTAGGGGAGTATATTCATGGCACCTATATTATCTCAGGGTCCACATTGTACTCACACAACTTGACCATAAAATTGGGTCTCCATTTTTGATCGTGTAGTGCTCAAAACAACTGCCACGAGGAATCCCCCCCCCCCCCAGGCAACTACGAACAGATTGGATGCGACGGTGGCTGGTTTTAGGGTTTCTGGCAGTGATGGAGCCAGGGAGGCTCCTGAAGCTAGTAGCCATTGTCAAGCCCGAGATCTGAACCTGCACCCAATGATCATGCAATTTGCAAAATCACCGTCAACTCTCACCTCAATTGAAAACAATCTTGTCGATCTGTGTCTGCGTACTTACTCAACTCAAAACCATCACATCACGACTATTTATGTGAAAATGAACAACATGGTTCACTTACTGCAACAACTCCTTAAGTTATATACAGATATATAGAACCACTTAATTTGATAACAAGTTTTGCTTTCCTAAGATCATGATTTTAAATGTTTATTTACAGAGAACAAAAATGAAAATAAAATCATTGGTTTTGATCAATTCTTAACCAGATGGGGCTTGTTCCAAAAATCACATCAAAACCAAATATCATTACCACTTGAATATTCGTGATATAATTATTAGAGTTCACATGATCTAATTGGAATGAATTCCCAAGTTCACCCAGTTGCAAGAACAGATGGATTTGCGTCAAAACAAAACTGTAATCAACACATAAAACATGATGAGTGGAGCTGTATCCTATTTTCTCACCCTAAGGTAAAAAGCTAGTTAAAAAGGCTTCATTATCCACCTTGATAGTGATGATACAAATTGATATATTTGTCATTCATTCTTTGAATATGAGTAGGCCATTTTGAGTAAAGGCAAGGTATTGTAGCTCTGTAATGTGCATACTGACAAGGTCTAATATACACTGAAATGCTGTTAGCTACAGGATGAGACATAGGGTCTTTTTCACTTTTGAGTTCCTCATGAGATGCACTTTTAAGTGAGATTTTCAAAAAGTCACCCCAGTAAGCATTATTTTTTCATATCCACTGCTCCATCAATGAGAGAGGACAAGCAAAGGGACACTCTGCTGTTGTGTGCATGGACACTTATAACCACATATTTTTAGGGGAAATTGAAGAAATTTCAAAAATTTGGAAAAGTTTGTGGTTGAAGCATCCACTGGAATAATACATTGTGTGCATTTGATGAGTACCAATTGGAATACAATCAAAACCCAAAAGTGCATTTATTCAATAATTTGTATATATATACATGCCTACTTGTACATGTGTACATAAATATGAGTGTGTGAATGTAAAGGTTATGTGAATAATATGAATGTGAAATATGCCAATTTTTGTACATATCTGTGTGAAGGACTATAAGTTATTGCACATCATATGATGAGATCATTCTCTATCCACATTGTGGATAGACAATGATAAGCTGGTTGTATTACTAATTGCAGCTTATCATTCTCTATCCACAATGATATGGCAAAACTTAATGATGTTGTGATTACCCATGTTGGGGCAGTGCCAAGATGGGGACTTTTCCATATCAACACCATTTTTTTATATTAATCAAGACTCTAAATGTTTTATTACAAGCATATTTATTACATTAGCTAGCAAGTATCAAAAATCCATTGACATTGATGGTTCAGACATTAGCTATGATACTATTTGGATTTATTTGCTATATTCAAGCTAATCCATAGTAGTGGGAAAACATCATCAACCTTGGCAAATGGATTTGATAACAATATGTTATGACATATATATATATAATAAATTTGTGTTTCATATCTTTCAATTTGTTTTAATGTTACAACACAATATTTTTTTAAATCTTGATACATAAAGAATGATAATTGTCAAGTTGAGATTTAGGTTTCTTTTACCAAATTAATGCATTAAGACATCAGAACAAACACTTTCCATAAAAGAACCATGCTAGTTAACATTGTTATCCTTATAAAAAGAGACTACTAAAAACATTTTATAATTGAAAAAGGCTGATTGCTTTTACCAAATTAGCCTTTATTATAATAATAAATAACGAACCTGCCTCTCTTGCATGGCTTAAATTGAAGTAGGACCTAAAATTACCAACTATATCCAAGAATGAGTAAAGGATTTTTATAATTTATGGGTACTAAATGATCACCAAATTTGATGGGCAATATTTATGATGAGTGCATACATTGACATATAAAAAATTAGAGAGCAAGTGCAAATCTCATGTCTTAGATATACAACAATAAAATTATGAAAAAGTAAATAAATACTTGTATCACAATTTTCAAGAGATCTCGAGGAATGATTTATATAAACTTACAGTACTCTTTTCTTAGAATGAGGATCATGTCAAACATCTGAATTAATGCATGCACAGAAATGTAAAATTTAGAGTGCATAAAAACAAGTAATGTTTCTATGTTTTGCTTGGTTCTATTGCTCTCCTTGGCTGACCAAAGGCCAAAAATAATATGAAGAAAGAAAAAGTGCATGACCAGAGATGCTAAGCTGTTAGCAATGATTAAGAGTGGGCACAAAACACTAAATATAAAACCAAGCACATGGCTCTCAACAGGGGATGATGAAACACAACTCCATGTTCAACATTTGTGTGGGAGGCCTACCGTCTTTGGCCTATCCCAAATCATTCCCCCCTCTACCATCTCCATCTCCACTATTGCTTACATTCTTTGCTATGTTTACATCTTTCAGAGTGCTTTTGTGCTTCACTTCACTCATTTTGAAGCTGGAAATGGCCTCCTAGAAACCAGTCTTCCCAATGCCATAAATGTGCCCATTCTTGCACATGGTTTCACAAACCTAATAATTATTGATCAACTACTTATTGCAAAGCCTCTCAACCAAATTTGACAAATTCTTCCCTACCAGCCAGACTGCACTCTTTTGTAAAAAAGTATTGTGGGTCTTCCCAACAGTGTGGCAATGATGGCTCCATTTCAAAAACTTCCCTCTCTCCTCTTCAAAAAATACCTTTCTTATCCAGAGGACCCGGGTAACACAGGTTAATGTAGCATCTTCTCCTCCCCCCCCCCTTTCCTTTATAGAAAGTGCCCCATTGTGAAAAGAGAAGACTCAAGCAGAGGCACAAGTGAAGAATGGAGGAAAGAAATACACACACACATGGAGAACGGCTGATCCACGTGGGATGTCAACCCCAGCCCACACTGAGCAAATGGTCTACGTGGCAGGGACGAGGAATCAGGGTCGACGGCGGCAAGCGGCGAGTGGGTGAGGGGAGGGGAATGTCGTGGCAGAGCGTGAGAAGGAGACATGGAGCGACGAGACTGAGCCAAAGGAGGCAACGGCGCGGGCAAGTAAAATCGGTGAAGTGGGGGGATCGAAGAGAGTAAAATTGAAAGTGCAATCGAAGAGGAATCGAAGAGCATTCGAAGAGGAATCGAAGAGCAATCGAAGGCAGCGACACTACGGCAGAAATTTGCCACTCCTTCACAAGAAGCACGGTCGGCGTTGGATAAACCAGTGACGTGTTTTTTTTTACTGTAGTTTTTTCCTTAATTTGATATTTTACTTGTTACGTTGAGCTGATGAAGAGGCTCGTCGCATCGGCGTTGGAGGGGACGCGCCCGGACAAGTTGGGAGAGAATTGGAGGCAGGCGAGTGGAGCGCAGCCAAAAGAACATGCTGAAAAGAGCAAGCGAGGAAGCGGCGAAACACAGGGGCTGCCTGAGATTGGAGAATCGAAGCATAGAGTTACCACCCGCTGGGCCCCGCAGCAGACATAGCCCTGAAGTTCGCATTCAATGGAATGAGGATAATATTACTATTCAGTTCAAAAAGATCAACACCGAGTAAGGGTAGGGTAGGATAGGGAGCTACAGTCTCTCGAACAGACTCGGATTGCTGGCGGGTGATACATAAGCCTCGATTGGCTCTGCATTCTGGTGGCAGTGACCGTCGTTAGCTCTCCTTCACTCTTTGTCCCACAGCAACAGCCCAATCCAACTCAACTCAGAAACGTAGCACCCTGCGGTGTTTCAATTAGTTTATGTCCAGTTTTCTATAAATTTATTTCAGTTCTCTGCTTATTAATCCTTTCTAGTACAGGATTCGTGAGTGTGTCTGCGGGATACTAGTTTGTTGTTCGTTCGGAGCACATGTCTGCGTAGAGCGGAGCTCCTAGATCTTCACACTTGAGTGCTGTGAGGAGATTGAATCGCGCAGCAATGGCAGGTGCCATGGCTGGCTGCGGTGCAGTGGCGAGGTCGTGGATTCGCGGCAACCTGATTGGTGCGGGAGCATTTGGGAAGGTGAACCTGGCGGTGAACCGGGAGGACGGGGAGGTGTTCGCCGTGAAGTCTGTGCGCGTGGAGGAGGGCAGCGGGGACGCAGGGGCGCAGGTGTCGCTGCAGGCGCTGGAGAACGAGATTGAGATTCTGCAGAGCCTGGAGTCGAAATTCGTGGTGCGGTGTTTGGGGAGCGATTGGACGGAGGAGGGCGGGAAGTTGATGCGCAACGCGTACCTGGAGTACATGCCGGAGGGGTGCCTGACGGACTTTGTTCGGCAGTTTGCGGGCGCGGGGAGCGAGCCGCTGGACGAGCATCTGATTCGGACGTACACGCGGAGTATTGTGGAGGGGGTGGATTACTTGCACAGGCAGGGGATCGTGCACTGCGACATCAAGGGGAAGAACATTCTGGTGGGGAACGGGAGCGTGAAGCTGACGGATTTTGGGTCGGCGAAGCGGGTGGGCGCGGAGGGGAGGGTGTGCGGGAACGGGAGCGGGGGGTCGCTGGGGCGACTGAACGGGACGCCGCTGTGGATGGCACCGGAGGTGGTGCGACAGGACGAGCAGGGATTGGCGTCGGACATCTGGTCGCTGGGGTGCACGGTGTTGGAGATGGCGACGGGGAAAGCGCCGTGGAGTCATCTGGCGAACCCGTTCGTGGCGATGTTTCAGATTGGGTACAAGGATGAGATTCCGGCGGTGCCGGCGAGCCTGAGCTCGGAGGCGCAGGACTTTTTGAGGCGATGCTTCGAGAGGGATCCGCGGAAGCGATGGACGAGCGGGGAGCTTTTGGAGCATCCGTTTTTGACGACGCGGCATGTGGCGAAGAAGGTGGAGGTGGAGGTTGGGGAGGCGGAGCGGAGGGAGTGTGATGGGAGGTTGGTGGAGGAGATGAAGGAGACTGTGCCAATTCTGCGGATGCCGTCGTTTTTGAAGCGGGGGCTGGTGACGGAGGGGAAGGTGGAGGAGTCGGTAGGGAGTCGGGGGTATTCGAGCTCGCCATTTGCGATGCCGATGGAGGGGGAGTGGATCGTGGTGCGATCGCCGTCGGAGTCACCGCGGTCAGGCAGTCCTTCGCGCGGTCAACGTTCGGTGTCTACTGCTTCCTCAGAGCCAGAGGAATACACAGAATTTAACATTGACGAAAGTGTAGAAGAAGCATTGAGTGTCGACAAGGAAGTCGAGGTGGCGACAGTGTTTTTTGTAAAGGAGCAAATGAGTTCGTCTAGCAGCAGTCACTTTTTTCCGGAGCAGTGCATCATTAGCATTGATTCCGAGTCAGCAGTCGAAGATGTAATGTTTAGCACGGGGAGCGTTTGTACAAAAGAGGACTTCGAAGGACACGATGGTGCGCGTTCCGAAAGGAACCGAGAATCCGGCGTGGATTTGCTGGGTGGTCACGGAAGCTCGTCAGCTTTGCGACCACCTGCGAAGACGTCTGAGATGGAGAACAGTGGATTTTGTATGGATTTTAGGTCTTTGCAGTATTTGATTCGGCTACCGCAGTTAAACCGTTTTGGAATCTCTGGTTTAGAGATTTCTAGCTCCAGTTTAGGAGTTACAGTGCTTAAGTCGCTGTTTTTTATGCTCGGTCCGGACGGGACCGATGATCACGAGAGTAGAGAGTGTTTGGAAGGGAGCAATGAGGATACGAGTGGTACGAACATGGGAAATGTACTTCCCTGGAATTACTGTACAGTGTTGCCACGGTTTACTTGTAACAATATTTGGAAGACGTTGAGGGTACTCTTTTCCACTACATGGGGATTTTTGTCTATACTTCTTGATAGGTGTGCTGGATTATTTGTCTGTTTTGTTTTTGATATTCTTGTTGATTGCCATTTCGGTGGATATGAAGCCCTATCCAACTCCAGTGATAATTATTTTTCTTTATTGTTTGCACTGCTCCAGACGCTATCCCAGTCTCACTGCTCGAGTACCTTTGGTTCACATTTATGTAATCCAAAAATGTTAAAAACACCTTCCTGTAATCTCTTCAGGTGTTGCTTTTTGAGGAGGCTGTCACTTTCTTCAGCTTCAATTCTGACGTGATAACATTACTTACACTACTCATGGCTACGATGTTGCGAAGATTTAACGTCCAGCATCTGCAGATGCCTTCCAAGTGAAGAAAATATTTTCCACAAGTTTGATTTCTTTTTCCATATTTAATGCTTGAATGCATTTACAAGATACACAATTAATCGACGAATATGACACTTGTGGAGCGAGTCACATTACAAACAGCAGACGTGCAAGGTTGCCTAAACCGATGCCCAGATGGTGCACGTCTACATTCTCAAGCAGAATGTTCTTAATTATTTGTTTCCTTCTTGGAATTAGTTAAGAAGATGCCCAACTAGTTTAGCGGGAGATCTTCGGGGTGAGTTCGCAGTCCTTGGTCTAGACAAAAGTGGATTGACCTCTACTGGTAAAATGTAAGTCTAGGTGGAATATTCATCTTCTGAAGGAGTGCTTCAGAGGAGGAGATCCAAATTGACTCACAAGGGCACATGGCGTGGTCCCCTCGGGTCTATGATCCATTGATAAGTGACGGCATCCGTGGGTCCACATCCCTTAGGCCTATGGAGAAGCGGTGTGAATATTTTCCCTTTCGGATGGAGACGAGTCGCAGCATCGCAGCATCGCACTTCGTAGACCCTCCCTTTCATCCGCCGTTCCACCTGTGGGACCACTGAGTTGGTGAATCTCACTCTTTTCCAGTTCTGATTTTCGCCACGCTGGCCAAGGAGGCGGTAAATTTGCAGGTTCCTGCGGTTACGCACACCAATGAGGTCTCCTAGAATCGGATGCCTCGCGGCCGCGGAAACTAGAGGAGAGCAATGGCTCACTGCCGTGTCTTGTCCGTGCAGTTAATGAGAGGGCAGTGACACATCGTGCTTGGGCAATACCACATTGGCGTAGAACAAAAAGCTCCTTGCAAGCGCGGTGGAGCCACATTCTTAGAAATTTGACGACGAAATCGGATTTTACACCCCGCAAAGTCCGGTCGGAATGCAGCTGTTCCACGCACCGCAATAGGGGCATGGTAAGAAAAAGCGATCAAATCTGCACTTTTTGTGTCCTTTCGAAGGCGAGGATGGCTACACTGCAATTTTGCAGGACCCTCGAAGGTTGCATCGGGTGAGGGTGGATGAGCAGAACCTGGCCTAAGGTTTCATGCATCAGCGTTCATTTATGGAGATACCTTGAGGACTAATTCTGAGTGTACTAATTCAATTTTGGGATCAGAATTCTCAAACCAGCATGCCGATCGAGTGAGACTCGCCATCCTTGGGATTCCATCAAACTACCCATATGCTTCCGCATGAGCCAAAACGGCGGGCAGGGATCTGATAACTCCAATGACTTCTCCACAAATTCAAATGTGAAGCATTAGAGGAGATATGAAGGGAGAATCCGAAATGCCTCTCGCGATGCTCCACGCACGTATTCGTTGGAGAAGAGCATTAAACTCGAGCGACCTTTTTGCCCCTTCCAGAACTGAATTCTTTCATTCCTCATCCTCCTTCAGTCCATTCAATACCCATTTTCCATCACTTTCATTCTCTTCGATGCCACCACAACCCTCCTCAATCTGCAACGAACTTATGGATTCCGTTTTGGCTGCTAAAATGTGTGTTACCCACATATTCCATGCGCTTAAGTTCGGCGCTTGTCATAGAAAAGTCGGCGCAGCAAGGGCTACTAACTTTGCTAAGTTTTACATTACAAAGAGGACCAAGATATACCCAAAATTAACAATTATTAGTTCGGGTTGATCCCCTTGAACTATATATATACATACAAGCTTTGGTTCAAGAGCCAGACTCTCGAAATGTCTTTTCCTTTATGCAAATAAATAGTATGATGTTTACTGCACACGATCATTACTTTCTAAAACCGTTGTAGAGGAAGCCATGCACAATTAAAAAGAATTTACCCATGTGCATTTTTCAAAATAGGTGTTAGTTATCTTATGTTCTGCTGTATTTGAATGTGCCACTGTGTTTGTTCCTTGGCTGTGTAGATTCATTGAATATTTCAAACTTAGAAATTGTTAAACAAAACTCGATAGCAGGAGTTGAAATCCAATAGCGTTTCCACATGTGTGTAATAAGACGACTTGCGTATTACTAAAGTGGATTCTCCTAGGTTTCTGCCATTGAGAATTGAGTCACCCCCCCTGTCTTTGAATTAAAATAAAATAAATTAAAACTAAGAAGGCTCTTGTATCTAGACAGTGCGAGTTCATTAATGAAGAAGAAACCTTTTTAAATCATAACTGATCATATTCCCTTCAACGTAGGATCAAAGCCAACAAGCCTGCCAGACAGATTTGAAAAAAATGAAATCTTCTTCTCCTCTCTCCAAATAATATCTACATATAAATATAGGGAAATTAATCACCACAGTCTAACCCCCAACCAATCTTGAGTCAACTCCAAATAATTCTCAAATCAAATCCCTCTGCACAAGCAATATTTCTCACTCCTCAAAACGGTTCAATAACACCCCCACTCACACTTTGTTTTCTGTTGTCACCCCAAATTCAGTCAGAGATAAAGAAAAAAAAAACAGAGAATAAGCTTGGGAAGTTGAGAGCCATAAGAGTTTTCATAAATGACCGCAATGGCTGGGTCCCTCCCCTCCCAACCCTTCTCCTCACCTCTCCTTGGCACAAGACTCAAGGACGATTGCGCACAAGCTCTGCGAACCACGCCGCTTCTCTCAGTCCAACTCTCAAGAGCGATCGCATATCTTTCGAACAGATTCCACGCACACGTGACGGTCAAGAAACCGGCTGGGATCCACACTATAAGGGCTTCTTCTTCCAGGCCCTCTGCCACGATGGCTGAAACGCGGCCCAAATTGGTGACAAGTGGACGACACATGGCAGGAAGTCGCGTTGCCATGTCGGCCAGCCAGGCGCTTGCACTTGCCACGTCAGATTCGAGCGGTTTCGGTGTGTGGTCTGCTGGGGCTTTGTGTTCCCCTTGGACGCCTATGTGGCAAAGCAACCATTTATTTGTTTTCTTTCTCTCCTTTCGACATCTTTTGACAGTGAGCTCGCAAAAATGTAGACCTTTCAATTTTGGAAAAAATAAACTAAAAGAAAATGTCTACATGTTTGTATTTTGAATGTCAAATTTTATCTCTAGTAAAACTTTACAGCAAATTTGCAGTGAGTTTTTTGTAATATTGGAGTTTAAATTTTGCAACAACATTGTTGTTCCCCAGACTTTTGGTTACAATTATGTACACAAATCCCATTGTGAGTGCTAAGTGCTATTAAAGCATTGTAGAATTGTAGTTAAACATGTGGTTTTAAATTGAAATAAATTTCATTGCAGTGAGTAACTAATACAGAACCGGTTTAGAATAGAGTTAAAAAAAACCCCAAACCAGCGGACCCAGATTAGTGACTCGAAGTAAAAGTAGTAATACAATCCTTGAACTAGAGTATGTAAGCTAACTTAGAAGTCAAGAACTAAAACTATGCCAACATATTCTATTACCCATCCTAATGCAAAGCACCTGGTTTTTTTCCCATGTATTATCAAAGTGTTTAAAAATGAAATTTGCTAGGACTTTATCACCCCTTATGGTCAACTGATTCCATTCAATGTGAACATAATCCTATAGGTGTTGTTGTATACGAAATGTAATTTGTTTTAGAGACCATTCTTCAATGTTAAACATCATTGTGTTTTGTTCAAGCTGGAGGTTTCATAGGGTAACCTCTTTGTAATAATGTCCAAATGATGTTAAACTTCCCAAATTGCTTAGGTAGAGATTTGGAGAACAAGCATTGCTGCCAACCAAATATGAGTGGATTCATTGGATTACTTGGCTTCCTTTCTAGTGCTTGAAGAAGAGAGTTGCACCATAGCCATGTACTCACTACCTTTGAACAATCACATAACATATGCAAGATGGTAGAGTAGAACGGGCATGGAGTGTCTATATTAAAGATAATTTTGTCTCTCTAGTCATTAACTGCAACTTCTTTATGGTAATCACTCCATATGAAGATTGCTTCCTTCTATGCATGATGCATTCAAGGGGAGTTGATTTTTCCATTTAGAAGCATTAAGTCCACCAAATTATATGGCTACGTTAGATTAGCCCTTATTGCTTTAGTCGTAAAATCCAAGTAAGAGATTTTCAGTTGCCATTCGTGCAGGGTCAAACTTGAGCCTGTCAATCAAGTCATAGAAGAAGTGAAGATTTTTTCTGTGGACCCCGGGCCAGACTAACAATTCTCACTCGTTGCAAGAAACATTGAAGGCCGGAGCTGCTGGTGGGTGTTGTTCCTAGTGTGGACATGGAGTTTGGATAGGATTTGAAGGAGGAGGAGGTGGAGGCGGCGGCAGAGCCATGTTTTTCCATGCAAGGGGTTATGGATCTCGGTGAGTCAAACCCAACTGCATTAATCCCGCAATGAAATCGAATCTTGAGGCCCCGTTGTGCAGCTAACACGTATTCACGGGTATCTGAACGGTGTTTTTTTTATAATTATTTTATTATACCTATTTTTTACGTTATGGTTTGCGCTGACATGATCTTCTCCTCCGATGACGTTGCACGAAACTCCACGTAGAAAGACGTCGCCGCCCGAGGTCGACCACGAGTAAACAAAGGTGATGCCGTATCCGACGTCGGTGAGTTTTGTGCCCTGGCAATCAATGGAGAGTAAGATTTGTGGGTGCATTTCGGTGCCCGTTTCACGATGACGCTACTTTCGAGTGAGAGATGAATGAGCTCCGGCCAACTTGCGAGGAGTTGCTGTGGGTGTGATCGATGGGCATGCTCTCACAAGAGTTTCCGGAACGGTTGTTTCACTAGCGACCTGAAACATTCGTAGAGCAATAACAAAAGACTGAGTAATGGTGCAGATATCAATTCTGAAGGGGCTTATGTGAACAACAACCCACAGTGGTTGTGCACTGCACGCAGCCTGCTCTGTACCATTTTTCTTCTTATGATTCCATCGCAGCCCTCGTAGTTTCACGTTTTACATAACCTCAACTCGTTCAAGGGATGTAATTTTTACTATTAGTTTGCCAACAGCAGAATTTGACTGACGTCACCGCCATTTAACCAACAGCCCTGCACCAATGAAAAAACTTCACGTTTCTTCTTCAGCAGCGTTTCCAAGACCTTGCAGATTCAGAGAAAGGTGGAGTTCTAGAAGGGGAAAAAAAGGAAAAGGAAAAAAGAGGAACTGTTGTTACTTCGCTTTTGGGTCAGGCGTATGAACAGAGCCATGTAAGTTCGATCGAACCAGCGAGGCTGAGAAAGACTATGTCAGGGTTCCTTTCCACGCAGCCTAAGCCTATTGAGATGAGGGATAGCTCAATGTCAGGTTTCCTACGTGTGAGCCACCTGAAGTGGTTGCGACCTACGGTTTTGCACATTACCATCACGTTGCCCAGGTTCGGAAGCCAATTGGGAGGGTAGAGAGTGCGCGTCACACGGGATGAAGGTGCCTCCACTGGAAGCACTAGCATCCGCCAGTTGATGATTTCATTAACCACCGCAGAGAGCTTTTCAAGGGAGGGCCAATGAGGAGGCCACCTTCAGTAAGGAGCATGTGAGGCTTTCCTACACTTTTTCTTGCCCAGGACCAATACCAGCTGCTGGGCGAGACCATTTGGTGCGAACGGCCATTTTTACGTCCTTTTAGCCTCCATTTCCCACCTACCCATGTTCGCCGTGATGTGGCTTTCTCCGACGCCGTTGAATTCTTGCGATGTTCCTAATCAACCTTGGTCTCTGTTGATTTTTTTTTTTTTTTTTTTTTTTTTCCCCCTAAAAAACCTCAACAATAGCTCTAAACTAACAGCAGCAGTTCATGGGGGTAGGTTACTCTTAGTGCGGAAGGTATGGCGTAACCCAGGCTTCGGTGGTAGATGGCTGACGAAGGAAGCTTGGCGCAAGTTGTTCCGTGCAGCATCTATTTATTTTCATTTTTATAGCTGAAGTAGTTTTAGCACAATCTTGTGTGTTGCTCCATGTGGATGTAGGAATTTTGAAGTGGACTCCTCACTCTCTGTTTCGTTCGTAATAATGAATCGATGGAAGTACATGTGCCCTACCCATTACTGGGAAAATATGGCGACAACGTCGACAGCCTTTAACTGTCGAAATGGCACAGTAGTCATGGATGTACGGATCAAGGGAAGCAATGGCAAACGTAGCACGGACAGATCGGTGCAGCACAATCCTTAACCGACACAAACACAATGTATCACGAAATTGTAACCGTGTCTAAAGCCGATGAAGGCACCATTCAACGTAACGATTAGGACAAGAGTACAAAAAAGCATATCACAAATTTCTAACACACAACGCAACCAAAAAGGGAGAGGATGAGAGGGTATGTTCCACATCTTCAGAAAACCATTTACATTACATCGTATTAACACTGTACAGTAGTTCCGAAGAACCTGCTCTTCCGTATTCACATGACTCGTATCTACATTGATCCAGCCCCGATTCTCCCCACACACTTGACCATCGGCTCCGAATGAAGCAGGCCAGAAAAACAGTGCCATCTGCACTATTACTCCCAAACTGGGAAAAATAGACTCCTCCATCTCCGAGACTTCCAAACCATACGAATGCTTTCGTCGTCCCGCGAGGGCTAAACACTCAAGCTTCGAAAAACATTTCAAGTTCGAAATGTCAGTCGTCGCCACCAATGACTGCTGAACCAGATCATGGCCAGCTTCAGGTGTTGGATTCGGCACCTTGTCCACCATTTCCACGTCGAAGGCGAATTTTAATCCCGATAAGGTACTACCATCTACTTTTTTAGCACGGAAGCCGCCATATTCACAATAAAGAAGTGCTTCCTCGCTCTCAATCCATTTTCCGTCGTTATCATCTGTACAAGTGCTTATCAAGCTGCAGCTTACATTCGTCTCCACCGGACAACCTTCTTCCGTCAAATCATACACGATGCTGCAGCCGTATTGACATTCCTCCAAAGTGTCAAATCTGATGATGGTCGAACTCGCTTTATTCTTTAAACACAACTCTTCCCCTAAATCTATTGACATTCCACACCCAGCCACGATTTCCTCTTCCTGGTTTGAGGAAGCAGTAGACACCGAACGTTGACCGCGCGAAGGACTGCCTGACCGCGGTGACTCCGACGGCGATCGCACCACGATCCACTCCCCCTCCATCGGCATCGCAAATGGCGAGCTCGAATACCCCCGACTCCCTACCGACTCCTCCACCTTCCCCTCCGTCACCAGCCCCCGCTTCAAAAACGACGGCATCCGCAGAATTGGCACAGTCTCCTTCATCTCCTCCACCAACCTCCCATCACACTCCCTCCGCTCCGCCTCCCCAACCTCCACCTCCACCTTCTTCGCCACATGCCGCGTCGTCAAAAACGGATGCTCCAAAAGCTCCCCGCTCGTCCATCGCTTCCGCGGATCCCTCTCGAAGCATCGCCTCAAAAAGTCCTTCGCCTCCGAGCTCAGGCTCGCCGGCACCGCCGGAATCTCATCCTTGTACCCAATCTGAAACATCGCCACGAACGGGTTCGCCAGATGACTCCACGGCGCTTTCCCCGTCGCCATCTCCAACACCGTGCACCCCAGCGACCAGATGTCCGACGCCAATCCCTGCTCGTCCTGTCGCACCACCTCCGGTGCCATCCACAGCGGCGTCCCGTTCAGTCGCCCCAGCGACCCCCCGCTCCCGTTCCCGCACACCCTCCCCTCCGCGCCCACCCGCTTCGCCGACCCAAAATCCGTCAGCTTCACGCTCCCGTTCCCCACCAGAATGTTCTTCCCCTTGATGTCGCAGTGCACGATCCCCTGCCTGTGCAAGTAATCCACCCCCTCCACAATACTCCGCGTGTACGTCCGAATCAGATGCTCGTCCAGCGGCTCGCTCCCCGCGCCCGCAAACTGCCGAACAAAGTCCGTCAGGCACCCCTCCGGCATGTACTCCAGGTACGCGTTGCGCATCAACTTCCCGCCCTCCTCCGTCCAATCGCTCCCCAAACACCGCACCACGAATTTCGACTCCAGGCTCTGCAGAATCTCAATCTCGTTCTCCAGCGCCTGCAGCGACACCTGCGCCCCTGCGTCCCCGCTGCCCTCCTCCACGCGCACAGACTTCACGGCGAACACCTCCCCGTCCTCCCGGTTCACCGCCAGGTTCACCTTCCCAAATGCTCCCGCACCAATCAGGTTGCCGCGAATCCACGACCTCGCCACTGCACCGCAGCCAGCCATGGCACCTGCCATTGCTGCGCGATTCAATCTCCTCACAATCTCCACAACTCGCCAAGCCAACTGTGCAAGGCTGTCCGCTCCACTCTACGCAGACATGCGTTCAATCTCATTCGAAACCCAAACACCCAGCGCTTATAGTACAATATCTCACGAAGGCCACTATCGACAACAATGACGAAAACGCAAGGCTAGATCAGGAGGCTGCGATTTGAACTGGACCGAGTGTGTGCCTGTGTTTCTGCGACTCAGGACTGAGAGTGAGAGACTGACAGACAACATTGAACTCAGGGCCCAGGAGGAGCTTATATGGCATAGGCTTGACATTCAGTTGTGACACTCCCATTTTGGTTTGTTTTTTTTTCAGTACTGTATTTTTCTGCTTCGTTCGTTTCTCTGTTTACATGTGGGGTCCGCCACATATTCGGTCCCTCGGCATCTCTCCTCGGCTTCCACTCGCTCCCTCCACTTCTGCACGCCGATGAATGGAGGAGCCTCACACCCGATTTAGTGATCTTCGCCCAGATCTGATGGTTGTCTCTCGCCTGTGGTCAATCTGGGTGTGCATGACATGAGACTCGGCTACTTGAGAGCAGGAAATGCCCTTCCATCTCGATGGAGATGGAGGACGGCGACAAAGGAGACAGTACAAATGCCTTCCCACCATAATTAGCATCTCTATTTTCAATACCTCGTTAAAAAGTTGTAATTGGCAGTTTTTACTAAACCTCAACACTCATACGAGTAATTTTTCCTTGGTGGAGGTTCAAGCAAAGCCAAGTCGAAATGCGAACCAGATACATGCCCAATAGCCAATGAGATCGATTCCAAATATAAACACTTATGGTCAGGAGATTCCATTGCGAAATAGGAACATTGTTGTCAATATGTTGCTTTTCCTGTGAGACGATTGTTGATTGAGAGCCGAGGCCGAGGAAGTGCAAGTAGTTTTTACGAGCAGAATCTACAGAAAATGGCCATCGCTGCCTGCAGTGCCTACTATGCGTGGAGCCCCCATGAAAGTGGGGGCCGCGCTCGCTTGCTTGCTTGGGTCCGAGCGCTCGTCGCGACGACGTTATTAGAAGGGCACTTCAAAACTCGCTAAGTGTGGCGTCAATCCACTTGAATGTGGAGCACTCTTTCAGCGTCTTACTTTGCTGCATGGCCTTTTGCTCCGCTAATAGCGTGATTAGAAAAAACACCAACCCTGATAATCGGTGCTAATCATGCTGCTTCGCGGATTGCCCCTCCTCCTGCACATGCTCGCCATGGATCGCGATCAAACCCTCGCTCACGTTTGTCGGCCGCTTGCCATGGTGGTCCCCTATCACGGGGTCCACGTCAGATTTACAGTAGAACCACCTGGGGATTTGACCCATGGAACTACCATTTCTGGTGCCAGCTCAGTGAGCAATTAACCCCCTCGTCATTAAGCCGCTAACCACAGTCAATGCTGGCGTAAGCTTCATTACTGAACGTTTTAGTATGCATTCTCAGTTGACTGGAAATATATTTGAAATATATGTCGCTTGTGTTGAGAGTGGTATTATGCAAGGTATCTATCTTTATGACTCTGTACGCACACACACTTTTTCTTTCATTTTTTTTACTTTTAAATTCTTGCATTCACTGGCAAGTTTTTGAAAACATGTTTTGATATCTTTAGTTGCATAGACAAGTAGAAGATTAGTTCAAAACTTTGCTTATCAGACTTATCCTTTGCTTTGAAAGTTTTGATGGACTTGACTTCTGACTTCTTATCGAGGGTTTGATGCTTCGTGCAGATATAGATTTGTTATAAATATCGTGCTTTAATTTACATTGATTATATATGCATGCGTATGTAGACAAAAGCGATTGATAGTTTTTGCTTATAGCATTGGTTGATTGTTGACCTAGAACTTCTGAGTAATTTCACATATCATTGTGACCTATTACAAACATAATTAGGAATAAACATAATGTCCCTGAGGTTACGTTTCAATTTATAAAAATAGAGACACACGAGCCAACATGCAATGTACTTTTTACAATCATAATGCACAAGAGAAATTTAACAAATTCTCTGAAAGAAGTAGAAACATAAACCATGGTGGCCATAACTTCAATCTTTGAATCGCCACTGAAAGTTTTCTGGATTGTAGTTTTTTTTTTTTTTTTTTTTTTAAAAAAATTTGAAAGAAGAAATATATATATATATATATATATATATATTCTGTATAAACACCAATTCTTTATATGTTATACTCAAGTTGGATTAACATTATGTATGAGCTCATCGATCTCATCCTCTTAATGAATCTATAGTCTACAAATAAACGAACAACCTACACTTCCTTTTTTTTTTTTTTTTTTTTTTTTTTTTCTAGGGACACGATTTGTAGTAGAATTTATATTAGAGAATCTTAGACATACAATTTGGATGAATTTTGTATGACAGGTTTGGCATAAACCCAATATTTGGAAATAATACGAACACACGAAAATATCTTCAAACATTCAAATCATCGAATCAATCCATAAAAATAAAATAAAATAAAAAGAACAAACAAAAAACAAAAAACAAAAAAAAAAAATTCCAGCACTTTCACTGTTTCTATTTTGTATGAAATTGAAGGATGCATTCAAGTGTGAAAAACTACCGAATGGTGGATTTTGAATCTTATTAATTGGCAAGTAATTGTGCATAGTTTAACTGGACGCCCACATACTACCCAATCTCATTATACAAAATATTACAACCCATAATACTTTGGCCACATCATTTCTCATGAGTCGAATTCAGCCATCAATTAAAATGAGCAACAATGGAACAACAACAACATTATCATACTATACAGGTAAACAGCGCCTCGTCTGATTTCTACTTATAATAATGCAAGTCACAGTATTATTTAGTCAGAGCTCCTACTGTCGCTGTGAGCACTCCGTCGCTAAATTTAGCCTCGGGATCAGAGCGATGATGAAGATGATCCATGCATCTTCAAGTTGTTTGTTCGTGCTTTTGTTGGTTTCGAAGCTTGTGATGGAGCTGGAACAACAACGAACTCATGCTCTCTGACTCTGCGGTGGATGGAATTATCCACTCTCCTGCTGTCCAAAGGCGAGGGCCAAGCTTGTATCCAACGATTCCCCACGCAGGCCAGCTGAGCCAAGCGCAGCGAGGCTTCTGCTGCTGTTGTTGCCTCACTGACATCATCGATGTCGTTTCAGTGGCTTTCACTGCCCGGGACTGTCAATGCTTCGTCGGAACTCCACCGTCGGACATCAGTGGACGCCTCTCACTCATCATCCAGCTGCACCCCTCTCCGTTGTTTATTGTTCGATGTATTCGACGAGAGAGAAAAACAGTGCTGTAAACCATACGTCGCTGTTGTTTTCGACGCGGACTGAAGGCAACCAGTTTATTCATTCACTCAGCTTGCCATTCATTGTCGCAGCGACCAGGCCAGGATGTTCCCTTTTCCCTTCTCCTTCCGTCAGCTTGCTGGAATATGGTTATCCGGCATGACGGGGTGGTTACGGAGTTTTCATTGCTACAGGTTCGAGGAGCTTTTACTCTTTTTTCTTGTCCCCGAGAAGGAAGCTTTTATTTCGGCAATGGAAAGTAACTCGCGGCGAAGGGTACTTGAACAGCAAAAACTTGCGGAGGATAACTTTGGACGGACATGGGCTATGGTGGGGAATATGCAGCTCGATGAACAAGAATATGTCACCGAGGTAACAGAGGTCAACCTAAACCCTAGATGTGAAGAAGCGATTTGGAGATGGAGATTATAAAATACAAAAAACAGGGGAGTAATGGTGATTGAAGAATACTCAGACAGACTAATTTGCAAGCGTCGCGCTCCCATGAATCCTGCCACATGCCCCAGTCAGTGTGCGGTTGTGGAACGAGACACGGAAAAAAGACCGTCTAATTTTCAGCAAAATTTCTTTTGCAGAGGAAGTGGCAGACAAAGGGAAGCCAATAGGGGAGGAAGCTGGGCTGGGATGCATAGACGCCTTGCCTATCTTCGGCCCCTCAAGCATCAAGGAATATGGAAATAATGGGTTCCGGTGCGTTCAAACTTGAAAAATGGCTGCCCTTCAACTGCTCTGCCGTTGTACACCAGACCACACGATGTGGCGACTAGCACTGAAGCCCAAAATTCGTATTCTATTCAACCCGGATTTAGAATAGAAGCATGCCAGTATCCCCCAATAACGGTACGTCCGTGGCAACCAGAAGCAGAGCCAGCGCTCTCCGCTCTTGGGTCGTAGCATCTGCCCTCGTGCGAGAAAGAGGCCAAAGGGAGTGGGGAGGGGGAGGGGGAGTTCCCCCACTTGCTTTCGCGTCCATCTCCATGACTGAGATTCCTCCGCGGACGGTTCCTCCGCCATTACAGGCCCCTGCACAAGTGCATATATTTTTCTCTTGCCATCCTCGAGGTCGGATGTGTGATCCTGCAGACTATAAAACGTAATTTGCAACATGATGTAGGGCTGTCATCGCTCGCTTCCCCTCACAGCACGCCAAATGCGTACCACGATGGCCGAAACCAGGATGAAAGCGACAACCCGAAGGCAGCAGCTCTCACACACCCGCTCCGCCACATCCTGCGCGCTTTGTTGTGCTGCCCTCCCTCTCGTTGTGGCATCGCCTCCTTGCTTCCTTTCCTCCACTGTAAAAGCAAACATAATACCGTAAAAATTATAAATTATAAACCCCATTCACCATCGCCAATCGCTCGACAAATACTACACGAGGACATACCCAATACCATTAGGGTTCATTCAGAACCAAAATGCAAAATCACATAACCATGTAAAATTGCCATGGAATTGCATCGCTGCTTTTGCGGATTGTGTGTAGATTCAACCAACGGCATTCAATTGCAAGAAACGTTTGATCCACGTGGCAATGTAAATTGCTGACCTGGACAGGGGCTTTGGGAGGTCATGGCACTGCACATGGAAAACTATCGATCTCCATAAAGTTGTTGGGGTTCGTAGCAGAGAGAGACATATCATTGAAATAAAGATAGAGGGAATGAAGAAATGTCCCCCAGCCAACTAGGCGTCCAGATCTGTCCTTCGGAGGCAAAATTAGGGCTTAGCTGGAGAAACGAGCGTAGCCACATAAGCACGACACTGGGGAGAAGAACCCGGCCGGCCGCTCGCCCCATCGTCCAATACACTTCCCTGCATCAGTACTCCGGAATCCCACCACCAAATTATGCTTTTTCACTTTATGGCCTTCGGTTCGGAGGAGTTCAACCAATAAGATGGATGGAATTCCGCCCAATGAGATCGCGCTGACTGGACATGCCACGCTGTCTGACATATTACATTCATCTATTATTCGTTAATCGCACTTCCTCGGGTATGACAATACGACGAAAGCGGGGATGGGGTCAACAATGCGGACAAAACAATATGATAGGACGATTACCAAATACACTTTTACGGGTTCCACCAATGGCGAGCTCGTTCGCCTCGAATTCGTCATATGTCCACGTCAGCTTTGTTATGGAGTCGGATCCTGTTAGGTCTGGGACGAAGATTGGTCCGCTTCAGGTGCCTGGGAGTTGGGGACAGCTTCTGTTGGGCGGCTGAGCTGGAGGGTTCGTCGATTGTGATTGGCTCCTTGCTTCCCCCCGTTCCAATTCACCGTCTATCTGTCGCTAGCCAATGGCGGGACAGTCTTGTGCATAGTAAAGACGCTGAGGTGACAAATTAATGGTGACCTGGCACTCGTCTGGATTGCAGGCGAGGTCACATTAAAGGATTTCTGCTGGCTTAGGTGAGCAATTATGTGTATATATATATATATATATATATGTCTATTTACAAGTCATGCAATTGATTTGAGAGAGCATAAAATGCCCAAATTATAGGTCTTAATACACTTACCATAATACAAAAAAATTGCAATGTATAAAATTAAATGCCATTGGGAAATGTGTAGTTTTTTTTTCAAACAAGATAGATGTTTCAAAATAACTTAGATACTTGCGTTAATATTTGTAAAAAAATTCTATGAAAGAACAGAAATATATGTAGTGTTCGAATCAGGGTTTGAATTTTTCTTTTTACCATCAATATGGACAAGATATATTATCAAATTAATATAAAAGTGATATTTGTAAAAATAGACATACAAACATACATGTGTATGTAATCATTTTTAATAGTCGCTACTAATATTTATTTGAAAACCAATATGTTTTATTGTTCTAAAACAATGTTTTTGAGAAGCCCTAGCCAAGTTCTTCAGAATGTTTAGAGAAATGATGAAATGTGCTTATTTGCTAGTAGAACAAAACAATAGCATCCTTCAAATGATACAAGCGTTTTTGTAATAAATAGACAAATTCGATATCAATATGAAAAATGGAATTAGAATTACTATATAACATCCACTAATACTATTTTACTATACTATAAGATATGAATTGATTATTATTATACTTACATAACCTTTACACAAAATGTAATGATTATAAATAATTTTAGAACTAAACAAATCAAAGTACAAGTGAAATAAATAATATATATATATATATATATACTCCTATTTCTTGCAATTAAAAGCTGATTTGTTAATGTAAAACATATATATATATATATATATATATATATATAATATTATTATTTTATTCCTTTTATTAACCACGAATAAAGTTATAAAAAGCATTTGAAATTCAGGAGAAACTTAACATGAGATGGTATTTCTTTTCTTTTAGCTGATATGTGACATATGCTGCAGTAACTGTAATGATACAGCTAGTTAACACGAATAATAAATTTCAAAATACTTTTATTTTACTTCAGAGAGTTGTATAAAACCGCTAATTAAATGTAGGATACAAAATGTTGAAAGATAAATATACAAAGAAACGATGGAAAACTATCAAACTGTAGAGAGTTGCATGTGCATATGCAGCATATATATACATATATATACATAATTACACACACACAAAGTCTCTCTCACACACACACACACACATATATATATATATATATATATATGTGTGTGTGTATGTGTGTAACCTGGTTTGTAGACATTGTGCTATTTGTTTACTATTTTATTGTGACGTTTTTACCTTTTTTTTCTTTTACAAAATATCTAAAAATATCTAAAAACTCCAGAAGCCATTGTATTATTTCAAATATTATATTATATTTTGATAAATTCAACAATTGATATTTCATTCTCAAAAAATGAGACTAGAATACTATCTATGAATGTCGATTATCAATTTGTATAATGATTGTTTAATGTTCGAGATGAATATGAAAATATAGATTAAAAATAAAAAAAATAAAAAATAAATGATTAGAAAATATAATAATGTTCCAAATATAATAAGACTCTTTTAGTTCAATCAATTGATAACAATGCATTGTTATCATGACATAACAAGTTACTATTTTTATTGTACAACATACTAATTTACTATTTTTAGTTACATTATGCCATGTTGTTGTTGTTGTTGTTGTTGTTGTCATTGTTTTGTTTTATTTGTTTTATTTTTCATTTCTTTCTTGTAAATTCTGTGGCATGTGTTAATAATTCTTATGTTGTTAAAAGTTATACTTTGTTAGTAGCCAAATAAAATGTAATTTACAAATAAAACTATTTTCTTTGTAACATGTACAAATGTCTTTGCTTCATAAACAAAGATTTGACTTTAAAAAATTTCAAATACAAATTTACCTAAAAATATTTTATTACAAGGATATATATAATCTTCTTAATCTATTTTTAATCATCTATACTTACTTTCATTTATTTAAGTGGATCATCATACATAATTTGAATTTTACAAATTACATGAAAACAACCTATTTGTACATTAAAAAAGTGCACCTATTTATTCTTTTAAAAATTATATTATTTGTTTTTGCTAATGTCACCATTAAATTCCAATTGTTTTTGTTACCACCACCACAACCTACCACCCACTCAACTTATTTCTATATATATACATATATATATAAATATATATATATATATATAAATAAATATATATATATATAAATAAATATATATATATATATAAATATATATATATATATATATTTTCGATTTTTTATTCGAATAGAAAAATTGTTAATATTTCCGATATTGAATCACGAAGAAGTGGTTGTGGTAGCAACAGCAAAAACAAAATTTTGATTGAAATTTTATTAAAATTTTCATGGAGCTGCGGTGGCAGTAGCAAAAACAACGGTGGTGTTATCAGCAGTACCTTAAAAAAATAAAAAGATAAAAAAAACTACATTTAGAGTAAACACAAAATACGATTCGAAAGGAATGAGTAAGAGAGTGGGTGTCAGTTTCTCTGGAGCACGGCGCCCCTCGCCATGGCGGGGAATCACAACGCATTGCGGAGCTCGTCGGCGTCGACGCCGCCCTCACTCATTCCCACACTCAAACACACACACTCGCTTCAACAAACTCTATCTCTCTCTGTCTCACGGTTGAAGCCACTAGTTGTATGCCTGGACTCCAGTTGGGGTAGGTGGGTGAATGGATGGATGGGTAGCATGAAATCTGCTTTCACTCACTCACTCACTCACTCTGTCACCCAGTTGCCATGAATCACCGCCATCCCCACACAGGCACCACCCTGATCAGATCAGACCAGACCAGACCCTGGCAGAATGAGAGAGAGTGCCAGACTGAGTTTCTCAGTACGGGTCCCCGTTTGTTGCTTCTCTTTCAGCGCGGTTTGACCGGAGAGTGATAGTTGATGTTGATGTTGCTGTTGCTAGTGGATGCCAGATGGACAAGTGCAATTGATTCTGGGATGGGGAGGACTTGCAAGGTTTGGGGGTTAAGTGTGGCCGCGTTACGACGGGATCAGGTAGTGAGATACCGTAGCGATACGAGACGATGGATTTTATGATGTGTTGTGAGAAGACTGCATTACCAAATGCAACTGTTCTTGCCGCCGATCTTGTGTTCCACCACTCCTACTCCACCAGTCACAGGGCTGATGACTTGGCGAAGCCCGTGCAGCTCATTTTGCCACTGTGCTTTTCTATTCACTTTTGCTGCACTGATTGCAACTTCAGCTGCCGCATTTGCGCCCGAGAGCTGTTGCTGTAGATCTTCACGGGCTCTGGGAGGTCCACAAGGCATGTTCATTGGAGGAGAGCAACTTGGGGGCGATTCTCTGCTCAAATTAGCTGCATTGGCTGTGAGTCCAGAAACAAATCGTCGTCTCCTGAAATATAATAATATATTGTCAGGCGTTGCACTGACATCGCGCTATTCATGTCCAAGCTGCAGTTTATCTAGGGTGTATGTGCGGCTCAATTCTGTGCTAAATTTGACAGAAATTCCTCTTGCTGAATCGCTACAGTCCAACCCTTCTTGGACCACCGCCTGTTTTGGAGGAGGAGGAGGACGGAACCTCCATTTTCTTTCTTTCCTATTTTTGAAGATTCCTGAAATGCCCTGAAGGGGACAAACAGGAAAGCTCATCATGCAGCATGATTGCGATCTGATCGCTGGCGTTTCGCAAGCCAGGCCGTTCCATCGCGATCGATGCCAGGAGCAGCACGTCTTGGCATACATCTCCAGACGTACAACGTTTTGAATATGCCTGGCCTCGATTTTGATGTGGAACTGGGTGGAAAAAGCACTTATTAAGAAAACAAAAAAGACATCCCCGACCGTTTGCGTAGTTAGTTGGCCAACAAGTGGTCTCCATGGTCTAGCCTGGAGGTACATCGCCTCACTAACTGCCTTCGTGGAGCGTGGAATCGGAGTTTCATGCATGATGAAGATGTGAGTGTAAGTAGTCAATTAGTACACAATCTGGGTAGGCGACCTTCCCCACGCGATACCGGCGCGCTCTCCACCGCTGCTGCAGTTCACGTTGCGCCTTCCTCCTCCTCCTCCTCCTGTCTCTCATGCTACCCTCCTCTTTCCATGCTTAGATGGTCTAGCTCCTACCACCTCCAGACTTCAACACAGATGGAGCTCCACTATCGGCGATGACATGGACATTTGCAAAGAAAACTTCGCTGCCGCTTGGTTTACAATGTCTGAACGTTTCAAATCAAGAAAAAAGAAAGTTATTGTACTAATTGGGTTGTACACCATCACATTCTTAAAGAGAGAATATTGTTGTAATGTTAAACTTTCCAGCTGTGGCAATGTTTTGTATTTCATTCCTGTTCCTGTTGTGATTTAAAAAAATAAAAAAAATCGAACCACTGAAATAATTCAACCTTCATCACTGGGTTTTCCCAAAATTAGAAAAAGCCTTGAGCATGCAAAACACGAATTCATGGTACGTACTCTACTGCAGTTTGAAAATCCCACAACTCAGAAATATTAGCTTTAAAGTCTCAAACAAGAAATCCTTTAGAAGCAAAGTACGTCATGAAAGTTCCGCTGCATCCAAAGTCTTCAACTTCAACTATCCTTGAAGAGGAATTGTTTTAGAAAAAGCTGAAAATGAAGCACACGGGTTTCATTCCTTTCAATTATAGATTTGAAATCCTCAGACAATGGCGAAAAAACCACCCCAGAGAACGTGATGTACGTCGTCTTCTCCGTGGAACATGTGAATGTAGAATCCTAAGTGATCATAGATCGGAGGGGTCTGAAGGGCTGAGATGAGTCCAGGCCTCTCCGACTCCTGAAGGTTCTCATCATGCAACATGATCAACTACTCGGCGAAGTTCATGCAAAGCTGAGATGCGTGCATGGTGAGTGCTCCGCCGATCTACAGTCTTTGAGGTTTTCCCTTCTTAAACAAGATTTGCAATACACGAGAAACAAACATGGGCGACAGCAAGGTTCAGCCAGGTGACGTAGTCTAACGCCTCACCCTGACATCTGCCCCTTCATCTAATTCCCGTAATTGGGCATTTAGAATTTTCATTCTAGGACTTTGAGACAACAGTTCACGTGCTCAACCTCTCGCCTCTTGTGGCGATCCTCAGCTAACACTGTTGAAGTTTACTTCTCTTTTATGCCAAAACACGAGTTCTCGAAATGCATGTGGTTAAAGAAGTGGGCTAATTCTGTAGTATTCCTTCCTCATCAGGTTGAATTCTCACTAGAGCAGAATGTGTGGGTAATCCCTCATGAGGGAGTTGACAAAATCAGAGCGGAACTGAGCGGAATGAATGGGGAAGGAACACTGGGGAGAGTAGGCGACACACAATTGTCCAGTGTACGTTTCATAGAAACGCCCATGTTGTGAAATTCCTCAGAAATGTCAGACACGTATTGAGGACGGTGATGGAAGATCAAGGCTAAACTGTTCGAACTCAACCTCGTTCACAGTGCGCTTTGTTCACGGCAAGTAGAACAAAGCAGCACACGTTACGCTGTCATGTGTTTACGCATGTCTGCAAATGTTGATTTCGCCCCAGTAACTTTTAACAAGAAAAACAAGCTTCATCAACTCAATTGCAAGGCACTCGCTAGCAGTGGTCAAAGTGTACAGCCACTCACCGAGGACAGGCTTGAACTCTTACAACGTCATCAGGACTGGGCTAAATAAAAACGAACCGATACATCTATAAATATATATTTATATACTTCTGACATCGTAACGTTTGAACCATCAGCTCTTAATATTGTATTGTGAGTATTAGGGCAGATTATTTTAAGGAAAGAAAAATAACAGCAAGATACGGACTTGATCTGTGGATAGAAAACTTAGGTAGAGACTTCGAGTAACAAGAAAACAATCTAACATTAGAAAAAGAATCTGATGGTTAAATGGCCCTGGGATGAGTAGCAGGAGCTCTGTCTTGTTCACAGTAAAATAAACGTCACATTTACTGTAAAAACTATTACACACAACCTACAATTTTGCAAAACTTTGAAATTTCAACTAATGAGGATTTAAATCATGGGTCACAGGTATTATGATTAATATTGATAATAATATAAATATTACTCACAACCAAGTAGACTCGACACAACCATGCTATCAAAACAAGACCTGTAATAATTCTGTAGCGTGTGCATCACATTCACTGCGGTAAAATGACAAGATATATATTCCCGAAAGATGGCACCAGTAGAAAGTATCTGAAAGCACACGTACTCACATTCTCAAGAAGTCGTAGCCAGAAGATTCTAGTTATGAGACCTCGCATTCCAGGCGATGTGATTCTGCACCTGCGTACGTGACGGGTCACTCCAACACCGTGTGCTTGCCAATCATATGCACAACTGCCACCTTGAACCACCCAAGTCATGAGTACCACAATTGGCTTTCACCAAGAAAGAACATAGGTACTGTGGTGTCTTCTAGCTGCAGTAGGAGCAGGATGTCGGTGGAAAGCTTTGTTGTTCCTAATTGCAACACATAATAACGAGAAAAATAGTTTGGATACCTCACTTAATGCAACAAAATCGAAATGAAGTTGTATAGACATGCCAACAGAGAAGCACGCGGCGAACAGCCTTCGCACTATTAACCCTAAATTTTAACGCATTTAAATCAAAGCCATTTTGTAATCGTCTCTACCTGAACATAATTGATGCCATCTCCAGAGAGAAGTCTCTTGCTCTCCCTCTCTCGCTTTGCTGAGTCTAGCACAAAGCCCATTCATGAAATCAAGCATGGCCGCTTAAACGTATAAACCATCTCGGGTAATGTTTCTGTTTCCGGTGCAGCATTCAGGTCCTCGAGCCTCAGCGCCACATGGTAAATTGTGTCCTTCAGTCGTCACAAAGAACGGCGAATCAAAGCAAGGCAGGTGAGGCTTGGAGGCAGGCTCGAAACGGGTTACCAGATCCGCATTCAGCACGCACAGAGTGCAGGAGCATTGGGAGCAGGAAAAACCTACACACCCACGACAAGGTAAAAAAAAGTAATGATAAACGAGGCGCCGCACGCAATGAAACTATGACAGCCAGTCAGCCTTTCCTTCTTTCGAATGTCCACAGAAAGGTGAAATATCCCAATGGTCGCAATCTCTCAAGTTCTGCACAGGATTCAATCAATCAGCAATGGAGCATTTGAGGCACAGCTATTGAACATAGATTCTGTTTGCAGATGTACCAAAGTCAGTTTTAGGATTACGGAGGTTTGTTTCTTTCGAAACACAGAACAAAGACGTGATGTAGCACAAACGTAGTCAGCCAGACATCGCACCACAATTAAGAGGAAAAAGGAAAGGTACGGACAATGTTTCTATTTTTGAACAATGCCTCGAATCTGACAGGAGGAGATGGTAAGTATATTCGCAGCATGCGCGTGCTGCGCCGAAGGCCAGGCGAATACAAGATTCTGTGCAATTGCCTCCGTCGCTCTTTCCTCGCCCCGTCCATTTGCATTTCCGACTTGAGTCGTGCTAAGTTCATTACCAGCGCTGCTCGACCATCCCTTGCGGTAGAGAACCCGTATTAGGTTTGAGCAATCTGTCGTGGATTCGATAGAGATAGTTAGGAAAGGTTTCTAAGATTGAAGAGGATACTGCGTGATTGATTTCGAGCAATTTCGTTGCCGTAACATGAGGTGGCATCGGGGGCAGCAGGCATGGCTTGCGGCAGCGGGCTTGGTGCCAGGGTGGCTCGTGTACAAGCAGCTTGTCCTTCCCGTGTACGCTTCGCTCATTCTGGTATTCCTGTACTTCTTGTCCAAGCGTCACGCGTTTTTGGTGCAGCGGCAGTTCGAGCGCGAAGAACACGATCGGAAGGTGCGTGAGGCGGAGGAGAAAAATCGCAAGGCTTCGTTGACCAATCGCAAGCGCCGCACGATCGAGCGAGCCAAGCGGCGCAAAGAAGAGGCCGCGTCCTCCAAAGGCAATGCAGACAGCAGCAGCGATGCCAAGGAAGAGTAGTAACCACAAGACAATCCTCGGCAATGCTCATTATTGTTCATGTACTCTCTAATCCTTATAGAAAATTATGAACCTGACCATCATACTTGTGTGGTTTGCCTTGTTTTTTACGCAAAAGGAATCTTCGAAGGTTGTGTGTTTCAGATGAGCTCCGAACTCGTGGTTTGGTCACAAGCGTAAACCAGGGTTTTAGGGCTCAGATAGAACAAACTCGCAAAGGATTTGGCCTTTTTCTTTCTCCTTAGATTTATTGATCCATCCAGGCTTCGGCTGATCCCTTCTATGGAGGCTGGCACTGGTAGTCAAATGATTTTTTTAATAAAACACAATAACTGGCGTATTACTTGGATCTGAAATTCGTGCTTCTTTATATCATATTGCTTTTCTTGTGTTTGATTTCCCTGCAGTTATTTAGGGGTGCGAGATAGAGCTTTCGGTTGGAATTGATCAACTAGAACGTGTTGGGGATTTTTCAATGGTGTTGAATGGCGCTTGTGCAGCCAAAAGTTCTTTTGCAGCAGGTTCATAACTATGTATGTGAGGCAGATGAGATGATGTATGGCTTTCAGCCAGTCCCGTTAGCTGGCGTCCAATCCATCGTTAAAACTGTCTGCTGAAGACAGTAGATAGCGATTGCTCAGGTTTCATGAACAAGTCCTAAAGACATGTAAACACGTGAAAGCGGCACTTGAAGTGCCATTTTTGTGCGAGTCAACAGCACTCAAGCCTTGAACTCAGAGAGCTACAACCTAATTTGAATATTAGTTTGACAGGAATTCTAAATCACCTGGATTATACATCTAACCTCACTATACATAAGCGCAAGGGTGACAGATCCTGTCGCCTTCCCTTGCTCTGCACACAGGAAAGACACGAAGGCCAATCGATGTTGCTCATCCATCCAATTGAATTCTTTAACCATGATCTGATTAGTTGTTTGAGATAAAAGGACTTTACAGTTAGGGGACAAGGTGAGAGGCCTTAACTTTTTAATGTTTTGATTGGTTGAAATAGAGAAGTCTTCTTAAGCAATGCTTAATAATGCAGGTCCAAATGTCTTGAGAACAAAAAATAAAGTAGAATGTATTTTATTTTTTTCCCCTGTATGACATAAATGATATAGCCCTTTGGAATTTTTATTGGATGCATCTCATAGAGACGATAATAGAAAAATTTAGGGTAATAGTTAAAAAAATGATTAAGAGAAATATTAAAAAAAAAAACAAACTAAGTTTTTTTTAAATACTTCTTAAGATATGGAATGACATATTTAAACATGTAATAAAAAAGAATGATTTAATTCATTGCATGTCTTCTTTTTACTTTATGTTATATCCAAAAGACAAAGCTTCAATAAAACAAATATTTTTTGCTACTTCCAATTTCAAATCTATATCTAGTTCTTGCTTGTAAGCATAGTAAATGACTTAGCAAATTGACTTAAGGTTCTTACAAATTCTTAATAATAGAGTTGGTCAAGCCAAGTAAAATACAATACTTAAGTATATCACTAGATATTATGATCTTGTATAAAACATCGACCTCTACTTGCTATTCTTTAAGACTACTTGGAACAATTGCATGTTTTATACATAGTAATTTGTCATAGAAGAACTTATACTTGTTCCGATACAAGTATATTTTTTAATTTTATAGCTACTTAAATAAAAACTTGTAAGTACTTCACATACTCTTGTGAGCTACTACTAAAGTTAATAATATTATCAATGTATCATTCAACAAATAAAAAAACCTATTAAAACTTAGTCTATTACTCCTTAAAATTTAGTTGGTGCATTCTTCAAACCATATAGAAAAAACTTCTAATATTAGAGTTGATCATTTTTATTTTAACCTACTCTTTAAAATAATGTCTTTAGCATATTACTAAGAAATAGAAGCAATTATTTTAATTTCAAATAAAAAGAAATAAAGACAAGATAAATTCCACTACTTCAAATAACTTTTATTGCATAAGCAACGGATAACAATTAGAATAAGTCTTATAGTTGGCTAGCTTATAATCTCTGGATATTTTTATTTATTTATTTATTTATTTATTTTCAACCTAATTTCTAAAGATATCTTTTTAAAAAGATATAACAATAGTACTTAAATATTCTCTAATAGAAAGCTTAATCAACTTAGCAACCAACAATTATCAATATTGAACTTGCATATTAGCTCTTTTTGAAGTACTAAACTTATAAAGTTGATAAAAGCTAAAATTCTTATCTTTAAATTGAATGTAGATGGACATGCCTATGTAATCTTGAAGATTTTAAAGATTCAAGGCAAAATACCTTCAATTCAAGAAAATATATGTCTGTACCTTATATGCTTTGGTACCAATAAGATGTCTTAATTCAAATAACCAAGTATAATTTTTTATAATTTTTTATTCAATCAATAAAACTTTATTTGGTGCTAGCATAAATTGTGGTTTTTAGCTTCTTGATGGAAGAACTTCTACGCTTCCAATATTTCTACTTAATAATAATTAAGAAGCCTATCTACTAAAGTATGCTAAGAGACATTAAAAGATAAAAGTAAGTTCTATATAAGTTTTGATATTGAAATCATACACTGTACCAAATCTTTAGGTTCAAAATATGAATAAATGTAAATAAGTTATGAAAGTAAAAAGCATCCTATAAGAGTAGATTGATGTGTCAACTACCACTTTATAAGTTATATCAATTATAAATTAAAACTAAAGCATGGATAATTTAGACCTTAACCAACATCAATTTATGAATGGCATTGACAAGACTATCATAAAATAAGTAAACCCACATTGATGTTAATTGTACAATATAGACAATAAATTTAATTTTTCTTAAGTTTTTTTTACTTTTTTATTTTTATTTTATTTTATTTATAAGAATCAATGATTGGAGTGGTTATTTTTCTAATGGCAAGATTCACTATATATTCAAAAAATTACATATCTCTTGAGCTTCATATCAATAAAGTTATTTAAAGCAAGAATATTTTTTTTCAACTTAAAAGTAGTAGTTATCATAATTACTATTTTTATTGCACTATTTTGATATAGAGCCTTATCATACTTATCTACTATAATAAAATCTTGATTCAAAGTAGCATTTTTATCATAATACAAATGATTTTGGTATAGCTAATTTTAAGAGTTTATTGTTTGTATTGTGCAAGAAAATCTTCATGAAGAAAATTTCAACAAAAATACCTTCAAACTCAATAACAAATTGCACTAATCTAGTATACACATTATGCCATGTATTCTTCTTCTTATAGTATAAGTTTTGAATAGGTTGCATTTAATTCTATAAGAATTCTTTATACTTCACCTTTAAATATATAATAATTTTTTTAATAGATTAAACTATAGATATTATTTAATTTTTCAAAAGATTATCTAAGTAGCATGAGTCATTTAAAAAAAATAAGTATTGGACTATTACAATTAATATGTGGCTTTATTACAAAATTTTCTTTGGAATCACTTAAAGATATTTTTTTACCTTCTTTAAATTTTAATTCCTTGTTAATAACTAATAGAAATATGGTAGTCTTAGGCCCTTCTTTAAGATTTTTTTAAAATCTACTTGAGTTTTTGAATAGTTATAACCTTGCATTTTTTTTTTTTTTTTTTTTTTTTTTTTATTTTTAACCATCTTTCATGTTTTTGGAAAGTTTCATATTCAAAATTTTGAAGAAAAAAATTGAAGATATAAAAAATTATTAAAATTGATTGACTTACAATAATTCTTTTTTATTTATGGCCAAAACTATAAATTCCAATAAAAAAAAAGATATTACTATTATAACTTAAAAATTAATTTTTTATCATGCTTTAAAAATCTTCTTTTATATTTAAAGATTCTTAAATTTTTTTTAGAATTGATTAAGGTTTTATTAGGATTGTTAAGATTTAATTGGGATTTATTTAGAATTCTATTAGAATTATTAAGACCTTAATTTTTGCAATTTCTAATTTAACTTCTATAATCAAGTGTCTAATGCATTCTCAAGCAAGACAACATGTTATTCAATAACAATATTGAATAAGCGCATGTGAAGTAATACCAAATATATTGTGCTAGTTGAAATGGCTGTAGAATTGTATAGGATGTCATTATTAGAGTCTAATTTGAACATGAAGGAAATAAGATATAGAAGTTTTTATTGGAACTTGGAGACAAGGAAATTAAAATATGAGCATGTATGCTTGAATTTGAAAATGAAAGGACTAACATATAGACATTTTTTGAAGAAGTGAAGATTTAACCAAACTAAGTTGTGCTGAAATAAGCCAACAACAATAAAAAAACAAATCTTTAATAGTGCCAAAATATC